GCAACGACCAACACAACTCAGTTGACCGTCATTTTAAATCCAAAGAGAAATTTACATAAATACCACTTCTCTTGTGTCCAACCTACCACCTTAATAACCTTCATGGTCATCGACTCATCCATCCTGACTCCCTCCTTTTACAATCAAGCAACAAATGGAGAAACCTTAAAATTTCATTTCCATCATCTTCCAAAAGGCTATCACTAAAAATATTAATATCACTCAAAAAATATTATTATTCAATTTTTAAAATTTGAAATATATTTTTCTCATGCATAATATTTAAAGTGGCTATATATATGAAAATTAAAATTTAAGTGTTATATATATATATAATTATTTAGATAGATTATCTTTATATGTGATGTGACATGCCAACCAATCGGTTCTCTTCCTGCGCCCGTATTTCTGAACTGCTGATTAGATATTGCTTGTATCCATGCTCCGTTGGCAATAGATCAGCACGAGCTGGATTCTTTATGTTCGTGTTCAGCACATCCCCTTCCATATTAATATATAAAGGGAAATTTACATACGTATCACTCAGTTCTTACATATTTATATGTCGGATACTTAATTTTACATATTTACATTTATTTTCAAAAAACTATGAATGTAATTTAGGTGTATTAAACTTTTATAAAGTAAACAATAATGATATTTTTTATATAATATTAAATTTGAGATATTATATTTGCAAATATGATGTTTTAAATGTTATATAAATACAGAACATTTACACATATTATAATTCTAATTTTTTTAACATTATCATTAAAAATGGCCAACAATAATTTTCCGCATGTTCTATGTCATGCATGATAAATGTATTCGTTTTAATGACGTTAGACTAAGGGTGTGTTTGGAGCAGTTTGTGCTTATTCAGATAAACCGTTTATCTGAAAATGCAGACTGCAGGGTGCGAACCGTGTTCCTTATTTAGTGTAAAAAATCATCTGCGATAAGCTGCTTAAGCACAATTTCCAAACGGTGGTATGATATTTTCAAAATACCGCAGCAGTAGATAAACTGGCCCATCGCGAGCCTAAATCATAAAGCACAGTCATAGCAATAGCATTGCATTGCCGACAAATATCAATTCGAGCATGATCTATAATAAATAATTACAATTTTGCCCTATTTAGAAGTCTTAACACATAATGAGATAGAGTGTCACCTGATATAAGAAAATTATCTATAATTAATTTAAATTCAACCTACCTCATAAAAATAAAAAAAACTATTGAATTCTCTACCTGATATAAGAAAATTATCTATAATTAATTTAAACTCAACCTACCTCATAAAAATAAAAACTATTGAAGTCTCCCACATCAAGAAAGCTAGAAGAGTGCTCTCTCTGAACTACCACTTATTTTGACCTCCTAACAAATACGGTAGCACACCAAAATTATGTGATATTTGAAGTTTCGCTCATCTACCCTTCATCAAATTAAATATTATTTTTGTTGAATATGGGAATATTGATTAAAGGCACCCAAGATATAGAGCATTTTTTAGAGGGGGAGAGAGAGTACAGTGAAGAACAATAAAAATGAGTCAAGCATTTATTCATGGCATAAGCCTTATTTATAGGCATAGCTCCTAGTGTTATCAGCATATATTTTAGTCCCTTCATCATTAACTTTTCAAAAAGACATTTTAGTAATTACTAAGTTGTTTGAATATAATAAGATTAGGAATTGATTTGATCGATAAGGGTTCATAGATCGTTCGTTATGCCTGTACCCGATCGATGTTTCATTTGAAAGAATGCTTCCTATCAATCATGTTGAGGGCTGATCCCTGCTCTGCTGGAAATCTCCTGACACGTTCCACCGATAGCCCAAACAAGATGTCCTTCTAATTGTGATTCATCCCGAAAAGATCACGAACAGCTACGTTTGATCAGTTGTTTCTTCCTCTTGAACTATTCATTTGTCTTAAGATTTATGCAGACATATTTTATATGAAAAGTTTTGTGGAAAATAAACATTCAAAATCTACTTCCAATTACCTAGAAATCAAGGAAGAATTGCATACATATCACTCAATTTTTATGTATTTACATGCCCGAAACTCAAAAGTATAATTTTTACGCACACACCACGTTACAAATACAGGAAAATGTGCTTTTTCATGTTTTAGAATTAAAAAAAATGATAATTTTGATGTGATATGCAAGAATAGGGCGTTATAAATGTAAAAAATCAATGTTTAATGGTTAGGCGTGTAAATACAAAGAAATTAGGTGGTATGGCAGGCAAGTGTGGCGTTTCTTTCGGCCGATTACAATTATACTTTTCCATTTTTATATCCTTAAATTGGTTCCTTGTCCTTTCCCACTTTCCAGTTGAGGAGTCTTTCATTTTTGTCGTCGTACAAAACTCTTCTTTTTCTGTCTTACCTCGCAAGCTTGGAAAGCAGAGCATCGCCTTCCTCCATCTTCCTCAACCTCGAAGTTCAGATTCCTTCGCCTCACATTTATCTGATTTCTCGTCCTTCTCGTTGCCTTAAAAGAGAAGAAACCTGAAACTCATCACAGGAAGCTCCATGGTTTACTTCAAGGTCTCATCATTGCTTGTATAAGGAATCAAATGCACATCTTTTCAGGTTAGAACTTCTCAAAACCCAATCTTTTTTTTTTTCTTTTGAATAGTTTTTGTAGCTTCATCTTATGGCTTGTTTGAAAGTCTGAAAACCTGTTGTTGATTTCAGAAAGATGTTAGCTTGGCATGGCCTGTTCTACCCTATTATCGGCCTCGCCTCCTGTACTGTTTTCATCTACATTTCCTTTGGGGATCTCGCGTTCAAGCTCATGGAAACGAAGATGAGCTTTGTTGGGAGAGAAGGAGTTCATTTCATGGTGGACGGAAACCCATTCTATGTGAATGGATGGAACTCTTACTGGTTGATGATACAGTCCGTGGAGGAGGCTAGCCGGCCGAGGATGAACGCCATGTTCAAGACGGCTTCAGGTTTAGGGCTTACAGTTTGCAGGACATGGGCTTTCAATGATGGTGCTTACAATGCTCTTCAGATTTCCCCCGGCCAATTTGATGAGCAAGTTTTTAAGGTACTTTTCTTTTTCGAATATTTACATTATAGACCACATAAGTTTAATTATTTATATCTCTAACATTTTAAGCTTTGATTTTACATTTTATAACAATTCCTATGCATGAAAAGGTGTATTTATTTATTGAAAAGTAGTAATGGTAGTAAAATTAGAATTAAACATGGCAGACACATTTGCAGCCAATCTGTATATAGATTTGATAAATTAGAATCTCAATTGTAATTTCTCTCATATTTGGTCTGCAATTATCAACGATAAACATGGCAGGCATTGGATCGAGTCGTTATGGAAGCAGGGAGACACAGGATCAGACTTCTTCTAAGCTTGGCTAATGACTGGAAGGATTTTGGTGGGAAGGTACAGTATGTGAAGTGGGCATGGGAGGCCGGAGTTACCTCAAGCTCCTCGAATGATTCGTTCTTCTTCGATCCATCCATTCGTGGCTATTTCAAAAACTACATCAAGGTGTGAGATGTTCCATGGCCCCATTGATCTCATTTAGCTTTTGCTTAGTTTGGTGTAAAGAAAAGTGTCAAAATTGTCCCCTAACTCTTTGTAATGCGTTAATTTATTCCCAGAGAGTGTCAATTTAGTTCCCAAACTCTTATAGACTCGAGTTCTTCACTATTTCAACCCATATTAAAAGAGTTTGTGGACTAAGGGTGTGTTTAGGGCAGCTTGTGCTTATCCGAATAAGCCGTTTATCTGAAAACGCGGACATCGGGGTTCGACCCGTGTAAAAATATGACCATGTTTTCGAATAAACTGCTCAAATGCAGCTTTCAAATAGCGAGACGGCTTTTTCAAAACGCTGATACAACAGATAAACTGCCTCAAACGGAGCCTAATTTAGCACTTTCATAGACTTTGAGACTAAAATGGCCCCCATGTAAATATTCAGGAGACCATTTGTTTGGCCTATTTGTGTTTGAAGAATAGTGTTGATGGGTTAGTGATGTGCATCTAATTATTGTTGTTTTTTTAAGGCTATTTTGACTAGGAGAAACCATTTAAGCGGACTTGAATATAGGGATGATCCTGCTATCTTTGGATGGGAACTGATGAATGAACCACGTTGTCCTTCTGATCTATCTGGAGACACTATTCAAGTATGCAGCCTTCTGCTATCTTTTCTTTTTCTCTTTTTTTTTTTTGTAGAATTTGCTGAATGGTGGAATGGTTTTAAGTTCCATGCTAATTTGTTTATTAAAAATGCTGTCCTTTTAATTCATTATTCACATACTCAATCCCTAATACCTTATATATATTCACCTACCTTTTAATTCATTATTCACATACTTAATCCCTAATACCTTATATATATTCACCTACCAATTAGCTCTTTAGCCATCAA